CCTGAAGTCAAGGCAAAGGCTTTTAATTTAATAAAAATTGATCTATTTTTGCAAGACTTTCCAAGATAATACTCAGTGGTAAACAAACTGGTTAGTTCCTACAGATAAATGCCAACAACAATGCCTTTGCAATAGACTGTACAGTGTATTGATTACAGTATATCGTGTGCAGATACACTGCATTGTTTTCAGGTAAATTGTGTTAAGATGTAGTGCTTGATTCCTTTCCCTTGTGGAGTCTTTTCTGTAATCATGTGAAGTACTGTACCATCTAGTGTTGATTTATTTAATGCTAAAGTTTACTCTAAGGAGGTGGTCCGGTTATAACCATCTTTGGGTCATCTCTTAACATGGCAAAACCGAAAGAATTACATTTAAACCTGTATGACTCCTCTTAGCATGAATCAGCATCCTCTAATTCAGAATCAACATGAAACAAGTTAAAATCCTGAGTTCAAAGCCGTGCAACAGCAACTATGACCAAAGATGGTTTGGTAGGGAAAATCAAGTGCCTAAATGTGAGACATCATTGGCATGTCTTTATCTCACTGCACTGGGGGCGTTAATGGGGTGGGCCTGGGGCTGGGTTGGGTGTGTGTTCAGTTGTTGACCCCTGTTATTGCTGCCCGTTTTGATGTCTTCTTTAATGTAGTCCTTTGTTGTAGTTTATTCATGTACATTTTGATAAAAAATAAATGGGAAACTCAACAAACCTTCAGATGTGAGAGAAATTTAATTCTATCAAAAGCAACTAAGCCTTGACTTTAAAAAGAAAAAGAATTCCAACATCACTTTTTTCATGTCTTTTGTCTCCGTTCTCATTCACACCCTTTCCACTTTTCCCCATGCGCTAGCTTACGTATCCTCCCCATGATTGCGCTCTGCAATGATCCACTTAAGCGTGACCGTCAAATCACGATGGTGCTCAGGAGCGACCCAAAGCTGCGAATTTCTGCCTGCGTAAGGCCTCTTATCACAAATCACCTGTCCTTTAGATATGTTTGGATCCGAATGACGCACGGTCTACGCAACACAGCAGACTAAACAATGTGTAAATGTGAGGAGAATATGGTTTGTGAGGTGTGAGACTGAAAGGAGAGATTGGAGAGGAGGGGGCCAGAGAGGAGTGTGTTTATACGTGTGTGTGTGTGTGTGTGTGTGTTTTTCTGTGTGTGTGTGTGTGTGTGTGTGTGTGTGAGAGAGTGTGTGTGTGTGTCAGAGAG